TGCTGGCTGCGTGCATCATTTTGGGCGCTGAGATCCCAACATGAGGCGGTTGGGCTGACCCTGTGGCTGCAGGAGTACCGGGGGACGCTGGAGCGGGACGGGCAGACAGCGCTGCAAGTGACAGGCAGGGAGGGGGCCACCCTGGATGTGCTCCTGGAGAACATGGGCAGGATCAACTTTGGGGCCAACATCAGTGACTTCAAGGTGAGAAGAGAGGGCCCGACGGCTCACTTGGGAGGGCACGGCTTGGGCAGCTGTGGGGCCAAACACCCCCTCCCCAGCCAACCTTGACAGACCTTGGCCAAAGTCAGCCCTTGGGGGCAGGATCCCTGCATTACCTCTACACTTTCCCATCCTCCCTCTCCCCAGTGCTCTTGCACTGACCTCACGGAGGTGGCAAATCCACCAGGAACCAGAGAAAGGCAAGAAGATTGGCATCGCCCTCTCCCATGCATGCCGCCATGGAAGCCAGGGCCCTGCAGCCCCTCTGCTTGGTTCCGGCCCCAGGTCTACCACTGCAGGAGAGAGGCACCCAGGGGAAGCCAAGCAGGGTCATGTATGGCATCCACCTGCTCAGGGCAGATCCTGCTGCCTCATTTTCCCTCCTGCTCCTTCTCAGGGCCTGCTGGGGAACCTCTCCTTGGACTCCAGCCCGCTGAGCAACTGGCTGATCTACCCCCTGGCCATAGACACTGCGGTCCAGCAGGGCTGGCCACACACTGCCCCAAAAAAACCAAGCAGCGGGGCTAGAGCAGGGCCAGCCTTCTACACTGGGACCTTTGAGACCCCTGGCATCGCCTGGGACACTTTTGTGAAATTCCCAGGGTGGAGCAAGGTAAGGGTGCACACGCACCAAGGAGAGGGGAAGAGAGTGGAAAGGGGCACAACTCAGCCCTGTCTCCATCCCCCAGGGCCAGCTGTGGATCAATGGCTTCAACCTGGGCCGGTATTGGCCCCGGCGTGGGCCCCAGCAGACCCTCTTTGTGCCCAGCTCAGTGCTACACACGGGCAGCCCCAACAACATCACGGTGCTGGAGCTGGAGGGGGCACCTCCCACCCCCTTCCTGCTCTTCCTCGACCGACCTTTTTTCAACATGACTCTCAGCCGCGGCACCACGGCCACAGAATAAACCCAGGGCTGCCAGCCACTGTCACCACCTCTTGCTATGGAGATGGTGGGGGGGCTGGTGAAGGGCAGGGGGCAGCAAGCTATCCTTGGTGCATGGGGAAGGAATATGCACCCCAACACAGACATTTGTCCTCCTCCGGGGCCAGGCCAGGGTCTGCACTAAGAGAAAGGAGCCCATGTTCAGTCTGTTCTGCATGTGCCCCCCACAACTCATCCCAAATGGTGCCAGTGCTCATGCTGAGTCCCCCTAATACCCGTGCACACAGCAGGCTGGGCCTAGAGGGTCCAGGCACCTCTTTATTGACAATGCAGGCAGAGGAGGTAGTTGCCAACACAATAGGGCTGAGATGCCAATGACACCCAGGAGAGGGGAGGGAAAAGCCTTGCCTTGAGAATGCCCTTGGGCATGGCTGCAGGCAGCTCAGGGATGCAGGATGCGGATGCATCAGGATCTGTCCCAGCACCACAGGCAGCAGCCAGCAAAGTACCAGGGAAAAGGACAGCCACCAGGACCCCCCATATAGAGCCAGGCTGGGCCATGGGCATGAGCCCCATAGGGGCTCCCGGCTCTAATATCTCCAAAGCTCTGTGGCTGCCCAGAGCATTGCCGCAGTTGCCCTAGAGAGTGACGTGGCCAGCTCAGCCCCTCCACGCACCAGCACTTCAGGGCTCTCCGTCCCCCTGCCACGCAGCCAGTGCTCAGCTCTGTCTCCACTACGTTCGTCCTTGGCAGGCAGCAACAGTCCCCAGCCCTACGTGTGGCTGGCCCGGGCTCGGCGGGGGGGTTGCAGACAGGCCGTGGAGCAGAAGGAGAAGTCAAGGTAGTGGAAGGGGATCCGGCCCAGCAGGGACTCCCCACAATGCCAGCAGCGGCTAAACAAAAGAGCAGAGGTGGCCATGAGTGAAGGGGATGCTTGCAAGCAGGGTACAGGAGCAGAGATAGGATACGTTCAGTGCCTAGGCTGAGGGCTGTGACAAGGGACAACAGCAGCACAAGGGGGCTGGGGCTCCTCTGATCAAACAGGGAAGATGCATCCAGGCACAGGGCCACCCAGCAGCCCTGCTGCCTGCAGCCTGGCCAGGGCACACTCCCTGGAGGTGATGTGGTGTGAGAGCCTGGTGCGAGACACCTTGAAGCAGGCTACATATGGGAGAACAGGCCTCATAGGAATTGTCAAGCCCCCGTCCAGAACAGCGTGCAGGGCTGACTGCCCACAAGGCTGTGGGGTGGCACAGAGAAGGGACAAGGGGTGTGAGTCAGAGGTGGTGGCATTGGAGTGGCTGGGGGGTTGGGTTGCCATAGCCCTGGCCTCAAGGGGATGGAGTTGCCCTTTGCAAAATATTCCTGGGGTAAAGTGCAGAAAGGGGGACAGCATTGGAACAAGCAACTGCTAGAAAGGGAGCAGCTGGGAATAGGCTTAGGCTGGATATGAGAAGAAAGGCAGGGAATGGCCATGCCAGTGTGGGGGAGTTGGTGTCTGCCATGACGACTGTGACGTGTTGTGCTCAGCGAGGAACAGCCTCAGGTTAAGAGGAGTACTCTTGGCTAAGACCGACAGCAGTCAACCTCCCTGTCACCCCACGACAGCCGTACTATGCGGGCTGTTACCTGATGTTAGCAAGAGTTGTGCCGGTGTCCTGCAGCTGTGCAGCCAGCCTCCGCTCAGCAGCCAGGGCCCTCTGGGGAGCAGAGACAGGTCAGTGCCTCCAGCCCTGCGTGGCCCCAGGAGTGCCAGGGCCTGTGGTGCCAGAGCCCGCAGCACCTGTGCTGCCCCAGCTGGACTGTATGTACTCCCTTCTCTGTGCAAGGCCTCACCTTCTCCCTGTCAGACAGGGCAGCAAACCGCTGCTTCTCCTCCTGCTCCTGCTCCCAGCGCTGCCGCTCCTCCCGCTGCACCTGCTCCCGCTGCTTCCGCTGGGCTTTCTGTGCCCGCTTCTTCTCCAGCTTCTTGGCCTCCATCTCTGGCGTCAAGGGCCCGGGAACCTGGGGGCAGCAAGGGCAGTCAGCATCTCCCGCTGAGCTGGGACAAAGATGTGAGCGGGCAGGCTCAGGATGCTGGGGTATAGCTGAGGGGGGCTCAGCTCAGGGGTCCCCCAGCCCATGGGCAGCAAGCACATAGGGCAAGCACTCACCTTGGCACGGCTGTAGTCATACTTATCCGGATGGTCCACCACGAACTTGCGGAAGGCGTTGCGGGTCGGTTTGTCAGCGGAGACGCAGTAGGGGGGCTGCTCCTGCCTGTCTCTGCAGGCCAAAGCAGACCAGCTTAGCCCCGCAGTCTTGCTGCCTGTGCCTTGCTGAGCTGCGAGCCTGGGGACCCCCCCACCCCCAAGATGTCCAACAGGGACAGGAGACCGGGCCGGGATACTGCAGCCAAGGATGGGAAAGTCACATATCCCTGCACCAGCAGCCCCCAAATCCTCCCCTTTTTGCATTTCAAATGCCTTGCAAAGGGCAGTCTCATCCCAGCCCTCCGAACTGCCTCCCCAACAAATCCGGCAGCGCTTCAGGGCACGGCCCACCTAACAAGCCCAGAAGTCCTGGCTGGGAGAGACCCACCCTCACTGTCCCAGGACAAGGCTGGCACAAGTCTCCCATGGCCAGGGCAGGAGGGTTGCTGGGGCGGGCAAGGGGAGCACCAGGGCACTGTAGGGCAGCCTCCTACGGTGGGGGCTGTGCTTGCCAGCCCCTAGAGGCCCTGCCATCGTACCTGAGCGCTGGGTCAGCTCCTGCCTCCAGTAACAGGTACACAGCCTCGGCCTTCCCTGCACATGCTGCCACATGCAACAGGGTGCAGCCACGCTCATCCACAGGCTGGTTGAGCAGGGAGCAGAGCACAGCCTCCTTCTCACCCTCGCTGTCCCCTGGTGAGGTCCCGTTGTCTAGCACACCCAGGAGGTGCCGCAGGGTCCCCACATCCCCTGTCTTGCAGGCTGTGAACAGGGCATCGCGGAGCTGGGTCTGGGTGTCTCCTAAGAGGGAAGGACGCAGACGGGAGCCTGATGCCACGGGGCCCTTTGACTCCCTGGGCAGAGCAGTACTCTGGTCTGACCAGCAAACCTACACAGTGCAGTTAAAGCATTGTTCTGCCAGCTGGATTTGGGCAGCGTCTCCAGTGCCTTCAGAGTCTGTCCTGTCCAGGTGCCCGTAGCATCCCTGGGCACTGCTGACAGCAGCCAGGCCCTCTCCTCCTGGGACAAGATCTGCTCCAAACCCACACGTGCACCAGGCTTAGCTGGGTTCTGCCTGCCCCACGGAGCAGGTGCCAGGGGATTGGACCTGGTGGCCGTGGGGACCCTCCCCTCTCCCACAGCTCCCATGGCAAGGAGCAGGCCAGCTGCAGACTTATGGCATCCCAGCGCTGCTCTCACAGCACAGAGAGCACTGCTGCTCTCTGCTCCCATCCATCCAGGTGGAAACACTCTAGGGCTCAGTCATTGCTCTGCACTTTACTCTCTGCATATCGCTTGCTTTTAAAGCACATGGCTGCCCTACAGCCGTGCCAGCGCCCAGCTGCTCTGGGCACCTGCCTGAAAACTTGCTCTTCACCCCGAAGCAAAGCTTCCTGACAAACAGACCGGCACCTCTCTGGCCCAGCTCCTGGCCTCACTTACCTCCATTGCTCCAGGAAAGGGGCTCAGCCCCAGCCTCCCGCTGTGGCTCTGTCGACAGCTCCAGGCTTCCTATCTCCTCAGCACAGGACCCTGCACAAGGAGCATGCAGTGAAGAAAAGGGCCGCAGCCCAAGCTGCAACTCCAAGCATGCCAGCCCCTTCCCGCCTTCCTACACAGCCCCAGGCCTGTTCTTCCCCCTCACCTTTCTCCACCTTCTTGTCCCTCTTCCTCCTCCTCTTGCGGTTCCGCTTGGGAATCACTTCAAACTCCCGGAGGTCCAAGGTCCCCAGTGTAACCTCCACAGTCTCTAGCTTTCCTGCCAGGCTCTCCTCTTCCTCTTCCTCCTCTGGGGCTGAGCGGGGTGACAGGGCAGGGCCTGGGGCCCCACACAGAGCACGGATCGTTTGGGGCTCTCTGCCAAGCACACCCCACCCAACATGGGGCCACTTTCTGCAGAGCCTCCTCTGCAGTGCCAGGCCTTGTAGCAGGGCTGCCAGCCAGGCCCCAGGCCGTGACACCAGTCCCTCCAGCTCTCAGCACCATGTCTCCCTCCATGGCTCAACTCACCAGTCATGTCTTCCCGCACAACATCCATTTCTGCTGCCCGTCGCCCCTTCTGCAAACCCTTCTGGGGGGACCTAGTGATCTCTTCCAGCGGCGTGTCCTTCCCTGGGCAACAGGGGTGCTCCCGTCATTGCCTGGTGACAGGGAGTGCTCCATGTCTCCAGGGATGCAGGGCAGGAGGTTGCCACCTCCGCTGCATGGTGCGGCATGCCTTAATGCACATGGGGTTATGTGCAAGGACCACGTCACCCCATCTGCTCTGACCCACAAGCAACAGGGCTGGGCCGGCTCACCGTACACCTGCAGGCTGGCCAGCACAGCGTGGACTCGCAGCACCTCCCGCAGGGTGGCCCTGCGGGTGCTGAGTGGGATGTGGCAGACACGGGGGTCACCCTGGGTGAGAGGAGGGTTCCTGCCGCCAAAGAGCAGCGTCCGGTTGTGGCGAGGGGCCCGGAGGAAGATGCGCCGAGCTTCCCGTAAGTGGTGCGCCCAGCCTGCCAGCAGGTCCTGGATATCCTGGGGAGGAAGGAGTGAGCACCGTGGGGTCCTGAACCGCACAGCGTGGGCAGAGACAACTCTAAAGCAGGAACCGTTTCAGGACAGAGCAGCCCCAACTGGATCCTGGCCTCCCTCTGGAGCTCACACCCCACGTGTGACTTCCAACAGCAGCTCAGTACCACCCCACAGAGCCGGCCATGACCACGTCCCCCTGCCAAGGGCCCAGTGCTGACCTCATCCTCACCCTTAGCAGCGCGGCCTCATTGTAACGCCGCAGCGAGGCTCCGGCTGACCTGGGTGCTGCAGCTGGGGTTTGGGCATCCCGTAGGCTCTGGGACGTGCCCCGCCGGGCTCGCACTGTGTAGCGGTGGAAGGTCTTGTGCTCCTGCAACTGGGGGCTGTGGAGAGTGGCAGGCATGAGCAATGAGGCCCCACGCGCAAAGGGAAGGAGAACTGATGCTCCCCAGGACCCTGGAAGAGGTGTTGCCCCTGCCAGTGCCCCATAAGCGCTTCTCTTGCAGTAAGACTGAACACAGCCAACTCTCAACAAAGACCCAGAGCTGCTGGTGCCCAGGGTACGTGTAAGCGCTGCGATGGAAAAATGGGAGTTGGGGGTGGGGTAGCCATCATCAATGAAGGGCCTATCCAACACCCAGCCGCACTTGTTCCTGCCCAGAAGGGTGACCCCAGGTCTGCTCCCCCATACTCACCCCTGGAAGACAGCTCCTGCGAAGTGTCCACCACCCATCATCAGCACAACCCAGCACGTGCTTGCACTGAGGCTCTGGAGCGATGCCACCAGCTCCGCTGGCTCCTCACTGCCACCCTGAGACACAGACCCTGCTGCTAGTACCTGTGGGATCACCTTACTACCTCTTGCTGTCCTGTGCGACATGGGCCAGCCCCTCTACTGGCACAGGGACAAGGGCTGCTACAGATAAAAGGGAGCAGGGTTCACCCTGTCCTACCCATACTACTGGGCTGTGCTGGGGGTCTCAGCTACTGCTTCAGCCCTGGTTTGAGCAGGGCTTTGCTCTTACAAAGGTCTGTCCAATTACAGGGAAAGACGGGAGGTTGGTCTTGCTGCTGGGAGTATCCCAGAGTCAAAAACAGATGATCAGAGAGCCTGGGGCTCTGATCTGGCACCAGAGGCCACCCTCCCCTTCCAGGGACATGGGGAACTCCCAGGCAGATGTCTACACCCCAGGGTCATCCCTCTTCTCTGGGGTCCCTCTCCCAGCAGGCTGAGTTGCGACTTGCCTTCCCAGTGCCCAGCACGCAGCGGTAAGCAGAGATGAGCTGGCCCTTTCCGTTCCTGAAAAGCACCTTGTGGGAGCGGAGGACCTGGGAGGTCTCAGCACTATTGCTGACAGGGGGCAGTGACTGTGACTCACTGCTTGAATCGGAGCTCTCCAGATCAGACCCTGAGATGCTGGAAACATCGCCTGCAAGGAAGAGGAAGTGGGGCAGTGGAGCCGGGCAGAGATCAATCCACAGCTGTCCCCAACTTTGCAGATAGCTCCAAGGGCTGACTCGGAGCCCCAGAAACGTCCTGTCCAACACCTTACACCGTCACAAGGGGGCTGTAGGCTGGGGAGAGATCCGTCTGGGGCTATAGATCCCAAGTACAGACAGACAGGGGCTCAGTGGAACGTACCTCCCTCCCAACAAGTCAAAAGGTTCAAGGCCCAGGAGCAGAGCCAGGACCCCCAGGAGACTCTATCAGGGCAGAACAAAAGGACCCTAAACAAGCAGGGACAGCTGGAGGCTCACGTCCCCAGCTTGGGCTGGACAGCCCGGTGGCCTCTGGGCCCTGCTGGGGGCAGCGCCATCGCTCACCTGCGCAGGTCTTCTCTTCAAACCCCTCTGCTGGCAGTGCTGGGCGCCCCAGGAGCCGCTGCTTCAAGTTGAAGCGGTGCCAATCGAGACGGTAATGCTCAGTCTGGGGAAGAAAGAGGGTGAGGGGGGTCCAGCAGGGTACACAGGCCCTTAGGAAGGGATGCAGGCAATGGGGGGACAAGGAGCAGCCAGCACTGCGCTGCGTAGCCGTGGGGCCGAGTCTCCGCAGCAGGACCCTGCAAGCTGTGCCAGAACTGCTCAGCGCTGCCACTGCTGATGCTGGCAGCTCGGCCTCGGCTCACCTGCTCCTCCCGGCTGTCGAACGCCTGCGCACAGGTCAAGCAGTACATCCGCTCGGGCACCTCAGGGACCCCGTGGGCTCTCTCCTCACCACCAGCAGCTGCGCGTTTCTCTAGAAGAAGAAGTAAGAGCTGAGCCACAGGCAGCTATTCATGCAGCACCACTGCAAGGGCTGAACAAGGAGCAGGGACTGCTGGGTCTTCTCTTGGCCACACACAATCCTGGGCACCCAAATAACACTACGGCAGTAGGAGGAATTTCAGAGACCTTGGAGGGACAACTATAGGTCCACACAAAACACGTTTAACCATTCACCCTGCAGCTCTCACAGCACCAAGCTCCAAGTAGGCACCCAAGCTGTATTGCAGAGTACGAAATCCTCTTCTCGTGGTCTGGGGCAGAGAGATATGAGCTTGGCCCAATAACCCCCTCATGCTACTTCTCTGCTCCCCTGGAGCTAAACCCACCATGGTTTACAGGCCTCGGGTCTGTGACCGATGCATCCACCGAAAACCCAGTGACAAGGGACAGCCCATACACGAAGGCGGGGTCCTGGGCAGCCTCGAAAATGGATCTGTTCTCTGGGGCAGGCATTGCTGCTGCTCCTGATCAGAGGGGATAGCGCTGAGGGTGAGCAACAGCCCTGTCTCCAGGACGCTTCCCAGCTGGAGGAGGGCATGGGAGGGGGGTGCAGAGGGCACAGAGGACAAGGACAAGGGAATTTCCAAACCCAGAAGCACCAGCAAGGCTGGGACCCCAAAGCCTTCTTCAGCCTCTTCCCCCCCGGGGGATCCCAACAACTCCAACAGGTGGTGCCCCCCAAAAGGAATCCTGTGCCCTCCCCCACAGTGGCCAGTGTTTCCCTCCTCAGGACCCTGGTTTGACCTCCCGGGATCCCCCTCTGCCTCTGGCGATCCTTGTTCTCCCACAGCCAGTGCTCACCACCACAGAGCGTCCCTGCCCCATGGTACCTCCCCACCACAGGCTATCCCTGCCCCATGGCACCCCCATTCCTCTCCCCCTGTGGCCGTTCACGCCCTGGCGGGAATGTCTCTCTGGGAATCCCCCAAAGGGCCATTATTCCCTCCGGGATCCACCCCCTGGGTGTCCCCCCAGGCTCTTACCCGCTCTCCGGGATCCCCCCTCCCCGCAGCTCCTAAGCCATTTTTTCCCCTGGGGATTCTTCCCGTGGCCATTACTCCTCACCCGGCATCCCTCTCCCCCCCGGGTCCCTCTCTCCCGCGGCCGGTC